GTTGGCAACCTAAAATGACTATATGTATATATAAGTATAGTTATTATAACCATAAAATAGTTTAAATTACCATAAAAATGATTCAAGTGACTATAATTTTATAGTTACTTGAATCATTTATACATTTGTTGCTAGAACTATATACATATTACTGTTATTATTATAGCAATAATAATCATAATTATAGTAATATATAATTATAGTTACAAATACAAAACATTTATCTCTCAATGAATCTCGATAATATAGGGAAAGCAGAATCCTTGGAACGAATAATCGATTCAATATCGTAAATTTTTTTGTCGCAGTAGTCATATCGAGATCTAACGTTTATTCTGATTTTTAAGTGTATCAGTTTCGTGTATCTTAGCGATTCATTTAACGCTGCAAATGTTTCGTTGATTAATCAGAAGAAAGAATGATTGTGTTTAGCAGAAAAAACAGCTTTGTGAGATTCTTTAATATGATCAATTTATATATTCAGATTCAGTAAGGACAAGACCGACACACTAAAGAATTTTACAACAATTGCAAAATTACTTTGCTAAACGCGGTCAATTTTATAAACTGACCAATCAAAAAATGCTGCAAAGCATTTGCAGCTTGAGAAGTATTTCTCTTCTCTTGAAAAATTTAAAAACACAATGTTTTACCAATGTGGCATGTCTCATTTAATAAATATTAGTAATGATAATAATCAACCCTTTGATAATAATTAGAAAAGTAAGCTATAATATTGAGAAAAATAAAATTAGCTTAATCGATTATATTAACCAAACATTTTATATTGAAATAATTTCACCAAAGCTCTTTATAGTATTTTTCATTGGCAGAACTGGTGTTCTGCACTCAGTGCACATTAAAGCCGTTATAATCTGAATGTACAAGTGAGAAGATATCTCAATTGATAAAATGCCCAAAATATATTTTATCAAATAGCACAATAAAATGTATTGAGGATTTCGTGGTTTAATTCGTTTCTATATTTTTATTAAACACACATCCTTAGGTCGATTTGTGTACAACCGCTTTAAAGTGTACTGAGGACGCACTAGTTCTGCCAATGAAAAACGTTATTAGTAATATTATCATCTAGGCATAATTGATTATTGCTGCCAAACTTTTTTCAGTATAATTATTGCGATACCTAATCGCTCGGAATGGTTTTTTGCCGTCGTTATTATTATGCTGATTTAAGCGATAATTCTCTAAAAACGTGAATTTTGCGCAGCCTGTTCCGACTCTAATTAAATTTAACTACGGTGATATATAATTTCGGTGCTCGCGATAATCCCCTAAATATCTTCTATCGTGACAAATTTCGATTCGCTGATAACGTATACCGATCGTATTTTTTTCTTTCCAGCCGCGGGACACGATCTCGTCCGATTTCTCGCGAAGGGCGTACAAAAGTTTCGAGAAACGACGCGCGAAATATAATCCGGACAATTAATTCGTAATTCGTGTTGCGCGAGCGTAAGGAAAGGGGAAGTGGGCGGAGGAGGCACGATCTCTCGGCTGCACCTCGCCAAGTCCGACCTTTTTAACCCTTCCCTCGACTTCCTCCCCGATGCAACTCCCTCTCTCCCCCTTTCCCACCCCTATCGCGCCGCTTGCAAGCTGCTTTACAGCCCTGTTTAACCACCTGTTACGCCGAGAGACTCGCGCTGAACTTCCGTGCTTTTCTTTTTCGCGAAACACGCGAGCACCACCCACGGCACCACCCGCCGGTTTCACCCCCTCCCGCCCCTTCCGTCGTCGTCGAATTTGTCAGTGTCTGTCTCCCTCGTGAGCGCCCCGCAACGTCCTCTCGACGCGATGATAGATCCGTCGTGGCCGATGCCGCGAAATGTCGCAATTAAAAGCCTCGAATCCCATTCGTCGCGTCTCGTCCAGGTGTCCTGTCTCTTGTCGTGCTATCGATTGTCGCCCGACTATTTTTCGAAAGTTCAAAGTTCGCAACCGACGGCATACTCCGGCAGCCGCCAATTACTGTCGATCCGCCGTTGCAAACGTCGCGCGTTGTCGATGACGGGATTTCATTCTCGGGAAGTACCTCGTGTCCTCCACGCCTTTTTGCCACGCCGGCGATATATCAGGTATTGATCGTGTTCGAGGAACGTCTTCGACGATGACCCTCGTCAGCCGGAGCTCGGCGTTGATGCGAGAAATACTCGAGAAATTAGTATCGGACTTCGGTCTTCCTTAGAACGAAACCGGAGGCAATCCCGTTCATGAGGTTTTAGAATCCTACACTGAAAGAACGATTTTGTTGAAGCTACAAATTTCATTAGATACGGATCTGAAACTAATTTGGTTGGACCGTCGAAATAATTACACTGAGAAAAAAATTATTGCAATTACCGTAATTTAATTGTTATAATTTAGTCATTTTTTGTGACAATTATGTACTTGTAATTGCTTTAACTATGCAAATATAGTCAATTATGCTATTATAATCACTTATTAATCATTTTTTCATGTACTTTGTCGAAAATGATTAAAATTTCGTATGCAATGTAAAGTAAAAAATTATACATTAACGATAAGGGCGCAAATTTTGGCATTTTCTTAATTATATCGAGAATGTGTTCTTCAGCATTTTCCAGAAAGTTGCATTTTGCATGAGACACAAGAACGCATTTACTAAATATGAAACGCACGCGCATCGCGCTTTAGTTCTCTCACTGTTAGCTTAGTAAAGTCTCGCGAGTAAATAGCTCGAGAGAGTTAATAGTTTCTATTATGATGAACTCATCGCTTGTATATTTGAAAAATATTTTAGGATAGATTCTAGGTTTATTTAAATTTTATATATTTTTAAATACTCTAAAACTTATAAAAATATATATGAATTCGATTGCAGAGAACGAAGAGAGTATCTACAAAATTCGCTGCATTGAAACAAATGTTTTGCTTAACAATATAATATGAATTTAGATCGATAAGAATTAATCTAATTAAATACGAAAATTCCTATATTCGGTCAAAATAAATTAGTGTTTAGATATTTCTTGTTTTGATTAAATCAACAAAAAGGCCTAAAGAATAGTATTTGATAGAGAAGACAAACAGAATTTTTAATTATAAAATCAGAAAGATTGTCCGATCTTATCAAAATGCCATTCTTATAAAATTTCCTTTTTAGAAAATTTCTGTTGATTTAATTAGAACATTTTTCCCAGTATATATGAATAATGATTTTTTGGATGTAACATTAATCATTAAAAAAAAAATTCTCGCCAAATTTGATGCTTCCTTTCTTAATTTTTACATCATCTGAATCGCCGAAAATTAAATTCGTCGAGCTTAATTAATTCGCAAAGCTGATCTCATTAAAGCTCACACGATTAAATAGAATCTTTCCGGTGGGTACAAAGCAATCACGTTGGTCGTACTCGTACACACGAATGACAGTACCGTGTTGCGAGGATATCGCGGGACGCAATGATTTCGTCGACTGCTCGCAGGCTTGGACTGCCCTGTGCAAATTTGAGGTGCAGCTACCGCCGAAAGGTCTCTTTGCTCGCAATATCTGAATTTCAAAGAGAGCCGCGTATTGCGAGGATATTGAAAATCCTCGGGCGGGCAGAGTCGAAGTTGCAGAAATGGCGAAACGACTATTCCTGGATGTCCGCAAAGAGATAGAAAGACAGAGAGAGACACAGAGAAACAGAGAGAGAGAGAGAGAGAGGAGATATGGAGAGAGGAGAGAGAGAGAGAGAGAGAGAGAGAGAGAGAGAGAG